TAAGTAAAGTACTCATCTAAGGTGCCTCATTTCTACAAAAGCAAACCTGTAATCCACCAAGTAGAGTTTGAAAAGGTAGAGCCAGAACAAAATGATGGCAACGAGAGAGAAGTGATAAACATGTGTGTAGCGGAGATGACTACCCCCTTCAAACCTTTGATAGTAAAAGGGTTAGTCCAGTTAGTTAAGGACCAGAAAGTGGTCATGAATGATGGTGGTTTTGTCCCCATGATGCCCCCCAAATACCAGAGTTATTCTTTTGACTTAACCAAGGCCGTAGAGATTTATGAGGAGTTAGTTGCAAGCTGCATTACACTTTCAATCACTCTATAACCAACTGTGTCCAGTTTAGGGATTGGATACAAGACCTTATAATAAAAGGAAAGTTGTTGTTGGAGAAACCGCAGGCCAATATGATGATTAACACTAACCCATTCCCAGAAGCCTCAATAAACATGATCAACTTAACGTAGGCTAAGAAGATGAAAGGAAAAGTTACCAGGGAGGTGAAAACAGAAAAGAAGGAAGTTGATAGGCCGACTGAATGAGCTATCAAGTTACCCGAGAAACCCAAAGCAACTATAATCAAATGAGTGGTGTTGTGTAGCAATTGCCAATGTGAGTGTGAGTTGTAAGTTCTAGCGTCAGGAGCTGATCAGAAGAAGAGAGAGAGAGAAGAGGAAGAAGGCCATAGAAATGTTATGCGGGCATCTGAAAGAGAGACTTCTAGGAATGTTTTCCAACGATTGGGAGAAAACTCTTAACCAAAGGGCTTGTGAGAAGTGTTTAGGAATTACGAAGCTTCTGAAGAGGTAGAGAACAGAAAAGCTAAGATGCCAAGATGGGTGAATGTGAGGCCATCCCAACCAAGCTATGCCGGTGGAGATGTCAGAGTAAAGGGATGGACAGTGAATCCAATCACAAAGAAGAAACCTGCCCGACTCGGGCTGAAATGGTATGTGGTTGGAAAGGATGGAAGGCCCGTCAAAGAAATGGGGCCTCTACCAGGAGAGTCCAGAGGCAACATAAAGCCTACATGAACTCATTGAAAGTCCCTATTGCCTCAGAAACCTCTGAGAATGTAAAGTTTGAGAAAGTACCTGATGAGGGAAGAAATAAACTCCATTAGAGAACCAAGAGGAGGTTGAAAAGGCTAATACCAAGACCGAAAGGGAAGGAAACCATGTGCCGTAGAACCCCCATCTTAGGAAATACAGAATCTTGAGGAGAGCTCAAAAGGATATGGTGATGATGCCTACCCCAACATGGAGCCCACAACCAATATGCTTTGGAACCATCTCACCAGAAAGAGGGTTGCCCACACCATTGTTGGTTAATACTCTTTGTGAAGTTCCATGACAAGTGTTGAACTTTGGCATAACCCAAGAAGAAGCACTGCCCGAACTAATGCTGCCCGCGGAAGCACATGTTTGGTTGGATGAATTCATGGGCCACATTGGGAGCAAGAATGAGGACTTACCTAGACCCAACAATTTCCACGTAACCATGACATATGTTTTATTTGCCATGTTTTGTGCTGAGCATGATCAACCTGCCACAATAGAGGGTGACTACTTAGTGTTGAAGATGCAGGAAAAGAGGAGTCAAACATAGTAGATTTGCCCATAAAGAAAGAGCTCGAAAGAGTGTACACCGACAGAATGGTCTTCAGTCGCCCGAGTTTGACCTTAGCCAACAATCTCAAACCCATTTATGTAACTTATCATCTGGAGGGAGTGCCTTTAAAAAAGGTTTTGATTAATGGGGGAGCCGCAACCAATATGTTGCCTTTCAAGCAGATGAAGAGGGTATGTAGAAGTGAAGAGGATTTCATCCCCATGGACTTAACAATTTCCAGTTTTTCTAGAGCCATCACTTGAACTCATGGGATATTACCCTTGGAGGTTGACTTGGGTTCTAAGCAGATCATGTTAGCTTTCTTCGTTGTGGATAATACTTCCACATATGGAGCTTTATTAGGCCAAGATTGGATTTATTAGAGTTTCTCGGTGCCTTCCTCCCTGCATCAACAAGTGCCAGTTTACCATGAGGAAAAAGTTATGGGACGTGGATTTTGGGAGATGGTAGAGGTAGAGTCACGACCATTCCTCACCACTGCCAATGTGGCAGAAGCCAACTTTTATAATCCTAGTATTGGGATTCTTCAATGCTTAGGAGCTGATGAGAACGGTCACCCGACTAAAGTGACTTCCCAAAAGCTTTTGGAGCAATGATTGTTCCTCACCAGGGAAGAATGTGATAGACCCCATATTGTCCCAACTCCCCGACACCAGTAATGTCAGAACAAAGAAGAAGGGACCAGGAAATTGCAGTCAGGTTCTTAATCAAAAGATTGTTGGTGTATGAAAGAGAGATGAAGCAAGAAAGGGAGAGATTGGAAAAGAACAAAAGGAAGTATCTTCAAGCACCTAAAGCAGAAGTGAAGAAGAGTTCTTTGGGAAGGAATTGGAGGCAACCATACAAATGGCTGAATGTATATATGACCTGGATGGGCCATAAGACTTGCCTGAGAGTTCAGAGTTGGTTGAATTTTTGTGCGCATAACCTGACAAGCCACCACCAGAGGTACAAGACCTCTTAGAGACTATTGATTTGGGGTTTAAGGAAGATCCAAGGCTTATACAAATTAGTGGCCTGCTAGAAATGGGAGATCAGGCAAAGATTATCAGCCTTCTGCATGAGTTCAAAGACTGTTTTGCTTGGCATTACACTAAAATGCCATGTTTAAATCCAACCTTAGTAGAACACAAAATACCTATTAAGAAGGGGTATAAACCTGTGAAGCAAGCACCACAGAGGATGTTAAAAGAGATTGAAGAAATTGAAAGGCTAGTAAAAGTTGGATTTATTAAGCCTACCAAATATGTCGAGTGGTTGGCCAACATTGTACCTGTATTAAAAGCTATAACTAAGGCAGTCCGATGTTGTGTTGACTATAGGAACATTAATGGAGCCATGCCTAAAGACAAATATCCCATGCCATGGCTGACTTATCTATTAGTGTAACTGCCAAACACAAAGTCTTGTCTTTCATGGATGGGAATGCTTGTTATAATCAGATAAAAATGGCTAAAAAATATATACATAAAACAACTTTTAGGTGCCCAGGACATGTAGGAGCATATGAATACTTAGTGATGCCCTTCGAGATCAAAAATGCTGGTGTAACCTATCAAAGAGCGATGAATGTAATTTTTGATGACTTGATTGGCCATAGCATGGAAGTATACATTGAAGACATCGTGGTGAAGTCTAAAACTAAAGAGCAGCACTTGGTAAACCTCAGACAAGCCTTAAAAAGAATGAAAATTCATAAAAGAGGTGTAGAGGTTGACAAGAACAAAGCATGGGCAATCATAAAATCACCTTTTTCCATCAATAAAGTACAATTGTAGAGGCTACTAGGAAAAATTAACTTCCTGAGGAGATTCATTGCTAACTTGGCAGGTAAGATTCAGCCACTAACTCCTCTGCTAAGATTGAAAGACATGGAAGAATTTGAGTGGGGCCCACCACACTAAGAGGCTTTCGACATAATAAAGACTTACTTAGCCTCCCTACCAGTGCTCATGCCACCTTAGAGGGAGAAGCCTTTAAAACTTTATATTTCTGCTTTTGAAAAGTCAATAGGAAGCTTGCTGGCCCAAAACAATGAAGGTGGGAGGGAACAAGAAATATACTACCTCAATAGAATCCTTACTAAGGTAGAGGCGAGATATACATCAGTGGAGAGGTTGTGTTTGGTTCTATATTTTACTGCTTGCAAACTAAGGCATTACATGTTGCCTTGCCACATCCACATCATCGCCAAGACAAATGTAATCAAATACATGCTGTCAAAACTAATGCTAACTGGGAGGATTGGAAAGTGGATTCTAGCACTTTTAGAGTTCAGATTTCAGTATGTGCCCCAGAGAGCGATCAAGGGACAAGCAATTGCAGACTTCTTGGCTGAACACCAAGAGTCTCAGGATAAGATTATCAACATCCCAGGAACTCTGGAGGTAGCCAGTATGTGTATCCTATCGAGCAAAGCCTTATCGGGCAGAGAATAATGGATCCAATAAGAGATAAAAAGAATAGCTAGTCTCTGGATCACTCATTGAAGACTATATTTTGATGGTTCTTGCACTCAAATTACCTTTGGAGTCGGATTGTTATCATTAATCCTAAGGGTGCTCATCATTATTATTCATTTCTCCTAGACTATCAAGAGACTACCAAAAATCGGGCAGAGTACGAAGCGCTGATAATTAGCCTGGAAATCTTAATAGATTTGGGGGCAATTGAAGTTGAAGTATTTGGTGATTCAGAGTTGGTGATCAATTAACTAAATGGAGAGTACAAGTGCAGACATATCACCATGACATGTTACTATTTGGCATCTACACAACTATTGAGCTATTGGGGCACTGAAATATCAATTAGCCATATCCTCAGTGAGTCAAACGTAATTGCTAATGAGATGGCACAGTTGGCTTCTAGAGCACAAATCCAAAAAGGGAAGTTTGAAGAGGATATAGAAGTTTAGAGAAGAAATCTCCCTTCTATCTTTGAAAGGGGATTTAGCTTAGAGGTGTTAACTGAAGAGGTGGAGATAGAAGATTGGAGGACACCTATTGTTCAGTATTTGAAAGATCCCCCATTTCCCACAAGTAAGAAGAATAGGTGACAAGCAACTAAGTATGTTTTATAGGAGGGAAATCTACTGAGGAAGACCCCAGATGTACTTTTATTGAAGTGCTTAGGTCAGGAAAAATCAATAAGAGTAAGGGCTGAAGTACATGAAGGAATCTATGGGGCACACTAAGATGAGATGGTTGCTTAGAAGATATGGCTATTTCTGGCCCGAGATAAAAAAAGACTGCAAGGCTTAAGCCTGAGGATGTGAAGAATGTCAAAGATATGGACCTCTCCAACATGTGCCCTCAGTGCCCTTGAATCCCGTGGTCAAGCCTTGGCCCTTTCGAGGATGGGCAATGGACTTCATCGGGCAAATTCATCCCGCTTCTAGCAAAGGAACATTCATAATTATGGCAATAGAGTACTTCACCAAATGGGTAGAAGCTTCAACAGTGAAGACCATAACCTCAACTGCGGTCAAGAAATTCATCGAGATCAAGATCTTACACATATATGGGGTGCCCGAGACAATTGTTATAGACCACGGGTTATCTTTTATTTCAAAGAAAGTAGAAGAATTTGCAAGTAAGTTCAAGATTAAGATGATCCAATCTAGTCGTTACTACCCCCAGTCAAATGGTCAAGCAGAAGCCAGCAACAAGATCTTGGTAAACATTATTAAAAGAATGGTGACTGAGAGTCCAAAAAAATGGCATGAGAAATTAAGAGACATTTTGTGGGCTTACAGGACTTCCAAGAGCGCAGGAACTGGAACAACTCCTTATGCCTTAACTTTCGAGCAAGATGTTATATTCCCCATGGATATTAATGTGAGTTCTGTTAGGATTCAAAATAAATTTGGGTTGTACAGTGAAGAATATATTCAAGCTATGTGTCAAGGAGTTGAAGATCTAGATGTAGCCCTAATCGAAGCTCTAGATAAAATTCAAGAGGGGAAGAGAGTTGTTGCCCAAGCATACAATAAAAATGTGAAGTTGAAGAACTTAGAGAAATGAGAGTTAGTGTGGAAGACAATTCTGCCTTTAGGAGTTCAAGTTAGAGGCTTTGGGAAGTGGAGTCCGACTTGGGAACGTCCATTCATTATCAACCAAGTACTAAACAAAGGGGGATATTACTTGGTAGATTTGGAAGGAAGCTTACAGAGGTATCCAGTTAATGCTAAGTTTTTTGAAGAAATATCACCCAACATTGTGGGATGTTAGAGATTGCTACATTGAAGAAGTATAAACGTTGCGAGTGGTCTAAAGTCAGCTTATTTGCCCATTGTAGTTAAGTTTTAGAGAGGAAATGCAAGATCAAATGGATTGAAGAAGTCATTTTCATTTCATTAAATGTTGAAGTTACATAATAGTCAGCAATAGTTTTACATCCTTGGTTAAAATAGCTATCCTAGGATGGCTAACTGAGCTTCAGCATCTTCAACTTCAACATTTACTTCCTTGACTGCTTCAATCTTCTAGTAAGGTTGTTTCGTACTAACGGTTATTCCTCCAACCTCTTAATCGCAGAAGACACCTCTGTAATCCTTGCTTTATAGAAGAGCATTCTTCCACAAGTCCTACCAAAGTCTTCGACATTGTTGTGGTAGTTGATCCCGAAGCATACACCTACGATGATGAAGTAATCAAGAAAGCAGAAGCTATGGGGAAGTCTGGGCTTATGGATACCTGTGCAAGGGAAGATAGCTTTATATTCACAAAAGGAATCTATTGGTGCGATTAAAACTGCCCGGCTACTCCTCAATGCAATAGAAGTCTTGAAATAGAAGCTGGAAGCAGTGCACCTTTCTGAGGATATTATAAAAATTGATTTCTCCTTGGGCATATTGTTTTTAACAATAATTCAGACCTAAAAAAGCCCATGTAGGTCCCAAGGAATGCACTCATCCCTCATTGAAGAAGAGTTCAGTGTGCAGGCTTACCAGAGCGATGAAAGCCATTGAGAAGACGACACATGGTGGAAATTCCCTCGTCAGTCTCGTAGAGAGATTGGGTTCATGCAGCTTTAGTTGCCATTGAGCAAAGTTGAAGGAGACTGAGAAAGCAAAGAGGATTTTCTGGAAATTATGAAGGTTCTAAGAATTTTGGGAAATTCTAGGAATTCAAAGGCTTGGAATGGCTATAGTATTCTGTTAAGGGGTTTAGGGAAGGATTATATAGTAAGTAGCCAATTAATGGTGGAGTTCATGGGTTAGTGCAAAAGTTTTAGATAACCAACGGTTGCTTTAAATGGCGTAAGTTCTGAGCAAAAACGTGCGACGACTATTCAATCATTATTTATGCCTCAGTTTGCAGGCTAAAAAATGATTGAATGGGGCACTATTTGGGTTAATATTTGAGCCTTGGGCTGCAAGTATGTGGAAGCCCAAAGATGTTGAATAAAATAAGACTTGCCCGAAGCCCAGCATCAAGCCTAGAGACAAGTTGGTGCCTTTCCATTAATGCATAGGCCATGTGCCTATGATTTAAAATGTTAAGTGATGGGGTCTAACTCACAATCAGCCAAAAAGCACATTTCAGTGACAACACAAATAAAAGGCTGATGATTCACTACCCTTTAAGTGCTTTTGGGCAAAAACAAAGTCAATGCAGTCGGGCTAATCTGCCTATAAAATGAGGAAGAGGCCCGAGAGACAAAGACACTCAACCAATCAAACAAACAAACATACAAACTCTGTTCTCAAGCTATATTTGCATCCAAAAGCTGTAATTAGCCTAGATTTCAATCCTTTTGAGGACCATTCCCTACAAAAGCCATTTTTGTCTAGTTTAAAGCCCTGCTATCACCCCTAGTGGCGTAGTATTGATTCCCTTGTGTAAACTTGCCTACCGTCCATCACTTTTTAGCGAATAAACCCTGTGAACTCAAAAGAGAAGTGATTGCAAGAAGTTCAACCTTACCCGACAAGGTGAAATTTTGCTCAAAGCTCTTTGTTTGTTTTATAAGTTAATAGATCTACTGCTTAATGTCTTCTCCAGCATGTATTCAAGTCATTCCCATCAATTTTCCAATTATAAGAGTTCTATTTGCATCCAGATTTGGTTAGTTTAAGGGACATGCTATCATTAATATCAATCAAAAACCAAGTAAATGACTTAAGGGGATCTGGACTCCCTCTATTCGAACATACAAGACTATGAACTAAAAGTCCTTGTTCGCAAGGCAAGAAAAAGAACTTAAAGTGGACTTAACTTATCCACAACAATCCTTTGATAACAAGAAGTCCGAGTAACTTGAGGCGCAAGTAATTGACTAAACACAATCTTGTTCTACATCTACTATACCGAGATAGCAGTGGCACGCCTAGCACTTGGTTAGTTTTGATTGTGAGCCTCAAGGCCTACACCTAAGGCCCCACAAAGGCACCTTTCAAAACTAACTTTATCCTCTTATTGCAGCACATCAGCAAACAAGAGCCTGACTACACATCCAAAGTGCCAATCCCTTGGGGAGCAGTGTTGAGAGCCAATAAGCCCTATCCAGAGAAATCTTCGCCCGAACAAAAATCTTTCATAAAAATTTATTGAATACGTAGCGGAAATAGAATAGTACACAAATTAATTCATAACAAAAGCTACTAACAAAATAATAATTATATTGTAACAATTCTTTCGAATGCATGATATCTATATAGACACACACTAAGGAGATGCATGGATGTACTCACTCCTTTCTAATCTCGTCAACATATACCTAAGGCACCCAAGCATGCACGTCCCATATCATGCTTATACCACTTGGCCAGCCGAATACCTTAGAATCTGAGTTAACTCCCATTCATCCCTTAGTCTAATTTTTGTAATTAAACTCTCAATTTCCACTTTATTGAATAGGCACTTCCCTCGATGCCTAATTGTATATTCAAGCCCTTCACCCGACGCCTGACATATACAATATTTCATTATTTTATAATCAACCAATTTGAATACTCAAGCCCTGCACCATACGCCTGAGATATTCAAGGTTCAATATTTTATATTCAAGGCAAACTTCAACCCTTGAATATCCTCACAACGCAAACACTTTACAAACTCAACACAACTCTTTTTTATTTTTTATTTTTTATTTTTTGCATGAATGTTTATGTATATGTCATGTTCACATAGATATCAATACTCACATTTTCTTTAACAAGCATGTTAGCGTCAACATAAATCAAATTGATTAGTAACAAGAGTAATATAATCATAATATTAACAAAATAATAATCTTTAATGTAAATGATAAGCAATATGTTACCATTTCTTCATTTTGTCAATCCTCCTTTTCCATTATGTTTCTATTTAATAACTCAGTGTTTAAATGGTTTGCTCAACTCAAATTTATTGCAATTAGACAAAGGAACACAGAGATTTAAGTGGTCCACCAATTTGGCTACGTCCACTAGGGTTGCATATGCATTAATGTTTTCACTATGTAAGAGAGATTTACAAAAAAAAAAAAAAAAAAAAAAAAAAAAATACAATGAAGATGCCCTATAGCCTTTACATAAGGTAAAAGAAAAGGATGGTGGGGATAGTGGTCTATGAAGAAGAGGAGGTTTTGTTTCTTTTTTCCCCGTGTGTTGTTGTTGGTGGTGTGTGTTGATTCTTCCCCCGTTTCCCTCCTCCCTCTGCTTTTATGGATGAAGAGATGGAATCCCCCATTAAGCCTTAAGGACACGTTTCACTTAGTGTTGCAACACTTGGACATCTTGTAATTGGAAGCAATGATTCCCATGCATGTGGACAAATACTCAAAAGCCACGTTCAAAGTCTAAGGATTATGAATCCCACCTCTTCAATTTTGGAGGGGATGAATCATTACCAAACATTTAACTCTTAGATTCCTAATGATTACAAACTTGCCAAGTCACTCTTATTTGGTAAAAATATCAAGCCAAACTCATCATAATCTCATTCTCCAATTCAAACTAAAAATATCTCTAATTACATATGAACATAAAATAATACTAGCTAGTTTTTGAAATAATTTGTAGCAAAAAGGATTTTACATTGAAACTATTTTACATATTGCAAGTAGGTTCTTGCATAAAATAAATATAATAAAATCATTATGTAAAAAAATAATTACCCACACACACACACACACATACACACACACACACACACACACACACACACACACACACACACACACACACACACACACACATATATATATATAACCATTTTTAAAAAAAGGGGGTATTGCATTCTACCCTCCTTAAAATAAATCTCATCCTCGAGATTTGTAAGACCTTAATTGTAACGATCCGAAATTTTTATTTGGAAGCTAAATTCGGTGATAGGCCAAAATAAAGTCATGGTTAATCTCTATGCTATTAACCATAATAAATTTATTTCCTTAAAGAAATCAAGTACAATAATAAATTTGGTTATGTTATGGCTGCATCTAACCTTCGCGTTAGACTGCCTAAGTATCCTACGAAGAGATCAAGCCATTCGTAGTTTACAAATTCAATTTCTAACTCATTTCCAAAATCATTCAAGTGACTAACAATCACTAACTAAATTCAAACAAGCGATTCATACCAATTTCATATCAAATATAGATTCAGAATATCGAATTTAGCTTAGAAAGGCAGTGCCGGCTCATTGTCCACGCGCAGGGCTGGCGGTTTCCGGCGAACGGAAACTCTAAATTCTGACGAACTCTAAAAATTACCAAATTTTACAGGGTTATAGAGTTCAATGAGAGGAACAACTTTCATACCTGGGCTGAAGTCCAATTCGACCGGTAAACACCTGAAATTAGCCTCTATCCGTGCAGAACCCTAGAATTTGGTGGTTTCAATTCGACATCAAAACGGACTCTAACGCCCCACCCAATGCATGGGCTTTGTTCCTGAGGTTGAGGGAAGTGTATTAGTGGTGATGGCTGCCTGAGTTAGCTTCAGATTTGGTGAATCTCCACCTAAACCAGTCGCACCCACCATAAGGTTCCTTGTGAAATCGAACCTCATTTCGTTTATTTTAGGGTGAAAATGGGAGAG